GATGATGATGATGATGATGATGATGATGATGATGATGATTTTGATTATGATGATGATGATGATGATGATGATGATGATGATGATGATGATGATGATGATGATGATGATGATGATGATGATGATGATGATGATGATGATGATGATGATGATGATGATGATGATGATGATGATGATGATGATGATGAGGAGGAGGAGGAGGAGGAGGAGGAGGAGGAGGAGAAGGACGAGGAAGAGGAGGAGGAGGAGGAGCCCCGAGGTGGCCTCACCCGTAGGGGGTGGGGTTAGGACCCTAGGGTCCTCCTGGCGCAGACGGAGAGTGTTGGGCCCGAGTTGCGAAATACCCCCGCACCTGCGGGGATGGCCGCCAAAGCGCAGTCCCCTTCCCCCCAGGGGGTCGCTGGGTGCGCAGTCCCCAGCACGGTCGGGGTTCCCCCCCGGGCTCGCCGTGTTGGGGTCGTGCCTGGCGGCTCGTCCTCCCCTGTCGGTCGTGTCGTTGTCTGCCGTGGCGGTCGGGTGGTGATCGTTTGTTTGTTCATTGTTTTGCCGATCAGCGCGGGCTCCCTCCCCCCTTCCCCCCCCCACGGAGTAGATATGAGCTGTTTTTTTGGCGCCTGTTTCGATCGGGTGGGGTCTCCCCCAGAGGCAGCACTCATGCAAACAGTCGCGCCACGCCGAGGTCTGGAGCCCGGCCCCCATCCTCCCCTCCTTTCCGCCCAATGTCGACACGCCGACTACGAAACGCTCACGTGTTGCTGAGTGTACCGCTGGAGGTCCTCAGCACCCCGACTGCTGCGGCAGATTTTCCTCGTGTTGGAGCTCTGCGGAGGGTTCCACTGAGGGCGGCCCCGCTCGCGCATTCGCGACGGAGTGCACGCGCTGTCTGCGCGGCTGGACTTGGCGGCGTCCGCTCCCGTCTGGGGGCGACCGCCCATAGCGGTAAACGGTACGCGGTAGAAGGGGGAGGAGGAGGAGGAGGAGGAGGAGGAGGAGGAGGAGGAGGAGAGGAGGAGGAGGAGGAGGAGGAGGAGGTAGGAGGAGGAGGAGGAGGAGGAAGAAGAGAAGCAGAAGCAGAAGCAGAAACATATGAGAAGAAGCAGAAGAAGGTTGAGGGCAGGAGGAGGAGGAAGAGGAGGAGGAGGAGGAGGAGGAGGAGGAGGAGGAGGAGGAGGAGGAGGAGGGAGGAGGAGGAGGAGGAGGATGACTCCTCCTCTTCGTGCTCTTCCTCCTTCTTCTCCCCTTCCTCCTCTTACTCTTGCAAGTCGGGGGGGTCGGGGCGGAGAAACGGGGCCCCACGGATCCCTGATCGCTTCGCAAGTTTCGGCGATTCCCCTGTCTCCTGCTTCTCCTCCTCCTCCTCCTCCTCCTTCTCCATTGTTGTCCTCCATTTTGTCCCCCCCGGATTCAGCTGCGTTTCTTGGATCAGTGTAGCGCTGTTCGGCAGTATTCATGGTGATCATTCTCGTCAGTGTCGCAAACATGCTTTGTTCCGACGGCTTCTTGAGCATTTTGCCGGAATTCTTACACAGGGTAACACATGCCACGAGCCCTGATCTCGTCTCTCTCGATCGAGATTTCTTGTGTTATTTTCAAATGCGGCTCCTTCTGCGCTGACCGAATTCGGGGGGTATAACTATATCTATATCCAGGGAGTTTTTGACTCGATTCCAGGCCGCCCGGATTCACGAGACCGCCCCGGGACGCGGTGTTGTTCTTCATCTTGCGGGCAGTGCGGGGTGCTTCACCATATCCAGTGTGCATTTGGATCCCAAGGTGTCCACAGCGCCAGCACGAGAGTTCCTAGGCCGTGTACGGCGTGCTTCGCCCCCTGTGGCTGCTTCCAGGCGCTCCCTGGGGCCGGCAGCGCCCGGACGATGCTTGACGCCTCTTCTCGCGTCGCACGTCTTTTTAGGGGAGCAAGAAGTGACATAAACATAAAACCTCGGAGGTCCGCGCGGATTTCTCGGATCGGCGCTGGGGCCCCCCCGGCGGCGCCTCCGGCGCCGCCCCTGGCGCGCTCCGCGCGCCAGGGAGGGGGGCCCAGCGCCGATCCGAGAAACCCGCGCGGACCTCCGAGTGATTATGTTTATGTGCTTTTTTGTCCCCCCATTTGTGGCGAGCTCGTGGAGATAGCTCAGTGCGATTTCAGCCACCGCACGCGCAGCGGAGACGTGGCTCCACGTGCTGCACGCTTGGGCCGCGGCGGCCGGAGAGCGCGCCGACGTGCGAAGCCCTTGCCTGGCACGCTCGCTCGGGCACCCATTTGGTGGGGTCGCGCACGTGGTCTGACCTTGTGCTGTTCCAACCTACGTTAGCCTTGAGTAGGGGAACGAAGAATGACATAAACAAAAAAAACTCGGAGGTCCGCGCGGATTTCTCGGAACGGCGCTGGACCCCCCTGGCGGCGCCTCCGGCGCCGCCCTTGGCGCGCTCCGCGCGCCAGGGAGGGGGGCCAGCGCGGATCCGAGAAATCCGCGCGGACCTCTGAGTTTTTATGTTTATG